TAATTTAACATCCTGTAGCTCTGTAATTATAAAAACGTTTAGGTACCATTCCCTACTCTTTCAGAGAGTACCTAAAATCACTAGAGTCACTGGCAAGTTGTGATAATACTATAATTCTTGCTATAACTTCCTATCCAGGCGCATGGACGAAGATCTAACAAGAAGATCAATAAAATCCTTTTCACAATATTTTTCCCTCTTTGGTTAATAAACAAAATGGCATTATTATAATAATGTATGCAAGCTAACTGAACCAACTCCCAAATCAAATGGTGGTCAAACATAATTAATTCGAAATTGAACTGCTGTAATATTATTTGGTAAATTAATATTCATAAACTGAATTGTTAGGATATTACTGTAAGCACTTAACTGTTTAGCATAGAATGTGGTAAGTAGTGTATTATACCTTATGTTATGTGGCAAACGCAATGGTGTGCCCTGGAACGGCTAGATGCAGGAGAAGGAATTGTTTGGCTTTTAGTCAGTAAGTAATCCTATTCCGTCTGAACGTAAATAATCATTGAATAATTTTGTCCCCTCAAAAACCAACTTGATTTATCCTACAGTTTTGCCTGACATGACAAAGCGTAATGTCCTCTTTCGTACTCATAACTAAATGTACCTATATTGTATACATTAGGTATTTAAAAAACCCAAGTAGGTAGTATATACGTTATTATTAAAAACTTAAAGAAGTAATACATCTCACAAAAAACCGCTACAAAATAAAATCCCCCCCCCCCCCCCTCTCTAGAACCCTAATTCCCTGGCACTTCACTTGTAACTGTTGTGCTTACCGTCAGGTGATTCATGTGCCTGTTTGCCAATCACAATTCATAAAAAAACAAGCCAAAATTTGAAAAGGGAGAAACTTTGGATCGTTTAAAATTAATTGGGATAAACTGTATTAGGAGCAAGTTACTGTAAGTACTCAACCATCTAAGTTACTCAGTGATTGGTACTTACACTCCATATACTCAGTTTCACAGTTCATTAAGCCTAATTACCATAACTATTGAATGGTATTCAACTGCAAATCCAACTGTCTGTTATAATTAATTACTCGAGCACACGCATGTTTCCAAAATATTGGTTAGAACGCTAACGATTTTGGTTTAGCAATTATTGTTGATTTATCGTTTAATTTCTGTAACATAGGGTTGCAATTTGCTGACCGCATATGCGTGAAATATTAATTCATACCCATTCATAATTTTAATAAACTCCTTGAAATGTACAATTTTGAGACAACAAAACTACCAAAGTCGGCACATTATCCACTACTACCTAGCTACTCTCGCGCGGTTTCACCCGCTGCTGGGCTCCATTTATTGTAGACTGATGTTTAATTGATGTTTTATAGCGTATAACACTCAGGAACATTGTAGCTATCTATCAGTGAAAGGATTTTGGAAATCCGACCAGCGGTTCCAAAGATTACCCCCTACATACAAACTTACAAATTTTACCTCTTTATAATATTAAAATAGATGAACAGCCAATGACAGTCCAAATCCCTTTCTATCTCCCTCTCTCTCATCCCCAATACAAATCCTGAAATCACAAACTACCTACCCCTAAAAGCCCGGCATCGAACGTGTTGACTTGATTGCTACCACCAGGTGATCCGTCAGCTCGTTTGCCGTCCTATCGTGCCGATTGCCCTTATGAGAAAAACAACGCTAGCTTTGTTTAACCCCGGTTGAATGTAAGGCAGTGGGATCAAACCGATCGAGCCGGCCTACTTTTGACGAAGCATGACACCAACACACCTGTGCCAAGGTTATAAAATTATGGAAAAGGTGAATCTGGACTTTACTCTCTACCTAGTAGCTGATAGAATAAAATACATGAAATACTTATTTATTGAAAGCAAACAATTGTACAATACAATTTTTAGCAACATAAAGTTATTGTATTTATTTATCCGTACCATTTGTCAAAACCTTTTTCTTCGAATTTTGAGGAACATGGAAATCGTATTAGTTTCGCTTATGAAAAACACAACGCATGCTTTTAAAGACTGTGAGATCAATCCATAAATGACCATGAATGACCTTTGTCAAGGATACAAAAATACTGAAAAGGTGAAAGTGGACCTTACTTAGAGAGTAAGACGGCCTCACAGAATACCGACGTGAAACAACCACAGCGTTGTGTTTCGCCGTGTGAGTGAAGTTACCGGAGGCCCAATCCTTCCCCTCCCCCGATCCCTCCCAATCCCTAATTCAAAAAGCCTAATCCCTAAAAGGTCGGCAACGCACTCATAACTCCTCCGTTGCGGGTGTCCATGGGCGGCGCCGATTACTTACCATCAGGTAATCCGTCTACACGTTTGCCGACCTATTCCATAAAAAAAAGTAAGGCTGATAGAAAAATACATGAAATACTTAATTTATAACTAACAGCAAAAAAATGTACTACAACATAGTTTAACATCGGGTCGGCATAAAGTTATTGTATGTGTTTTTCCGTACCATTTGACAAAACCATTTTCCTGCGAATTTTGGGGAACAACATGGAAATCGTGCCCATGTTTCGGATTTTATTTGCCATCTGTGTTTGTTTACGTAATACGTTCCAGTTATGTACCTATGTAGATCGTTGTTTATGAGTTAGGCTACTACTTATGTATAAAGTACAATGTCCGACCAAGGAGGCCGACAACGCACCTGTGACTCCTCTCGTGTTGCAGGTGTCCATGAGCGGCGCCGATCGCTTACCATCAGGTGATCCGTCTGCTTGTTTGCTTCCTATTCCATATAAAAAGGGATTGATTCAGAAAAACTTTGGAATAATCTTTAGGTGGAGGTATTTTCGAACCGATACGACCTTAAAACCTTCAAGAAACGTACGTTCTCCTTTTCAAAGGGCCGGCAACGTGTCTATGACTCCTCTGGCGTTGCAAGTGTCCATGGGCAGCGCTGCTCACGTACCATCAAGTGACGAGAGTGCTAGTTTGCCTCCTAATCCATAAAAAATTAAAGTTACATTTTTTTCAAGAATAAGCCTTAGAAATCGGTAACTGTGTCCAGTGGCAGCACAATAGGCTTTCTCTCTGAAATGGAACTCATACCAAGATGAAAAGTGATATTATATTCGTGTACCACCACTCCTTTTCTTTCATAAGATTTTAAGGGAATTTAAATGTGAGAGCCATGCCAAAGGCGGAAGAGCCATTCTTCGGCACGAATGCGTCGGCTCCACCAGAGCGATACCAGAAACTCTATAGAAAAATCCGGTGTGAAACAACCACAGCGCTGTGTTTCGCTGAGTGAGTGAGCCCTCCCCGAATCCCTCGCCAATTCCGAAAACTCCATATTGGCAATAAAGGTAACTCCTTCTTTGTTGCGGGAGTCCATGGGTGGAGGTAATTGCTTACCATCAGCAGGTTATCAATTTTCCGTAGCATTGTCAAACAAATCATCCTCTACCTTTCTAATCAATCCTCCACCTTCTTATCCCCAATCCCACAATCTTCAATCAACACGAAAATCCTGAAATACCTACCAATATGTACCTAGCTACTAACTTTTATTGTTTAATTTTGCATACTATGTACATGTATAATTAGCAAAACATGATGTACTTTAATATTATATTGTAAAACCTTGTTATACCATGTATTAAGGCAATAAATATTATGATTATGATTATCTAACCATGACCATAATTTTTTTTATTTTTTATTTTTTATTTTTTTTAAAAAAACGTTGCACGTTCACACGTTACGTTAATAATATTAGTAGGTTGTTAGGTACCTACCCAACAACCTAGGGAATTATGGAATTACTAATTCCACTTGTACTGGCATTCCATCAGTTGACCTATCTGATACTTTGCCGACCTCTCCAATAAAAAAACAGGATTAGGTTTTGTCAAATTAAGTTAAGCTTAACATAAAAATAAAAGGAAGGCTGACAAGTTAATAAATAACTATAGATTTCAAAGACATTTTTTTATATAATACTTTATTTCATAACTCGCTGACACAAATATGGTAAGGAATCATACAATTCGCTCCATTTTATTTCGTTTAATCTCTCTTTAACAAACAATTTCCTTAAATCGACTTAGTTATAACTTCCATAGCTTTCGAATTCATAAATAAACCTTACAAATATATACACGTTTAATACTAGGAATCGTAAAAATAGCAGAATTATATTAGCAGACAGAAAAACGCTACAATCAACTCAATCTTACTATAATCTTTTCTGTCAAAAATAATCTGCTCATGATCCTACACAGAGGCGTTTTAGGTTCCATTACAAAAAAATAAATATCTCAGACAGATTCACTAACAAAGAGCTGTAGAGATGGGTGTTAATAACAGAAAAAATATTCCTTTCATCAATGTTATTTGGTATATTTATACACTCAAACAAATTTCTTTGGTATAACATTATTTACAATCTTCAAACGTCTAACTGAAGTACATTTTCAGGCTGATTCTGACACAACAACGACACATTAGCGAAACATTCAATAAACTCTTAAAGTACTTCGTGGTAAACCAATTATCACCGTTTACATTAAACCTCGATTTTTGAAAAGGCGAACACAATCTTTACTTAAATCTTTATACTTCGTTTTAAATTAATTATTTGTTGTTCAATATTCGCGTAGTTTCTATGTGAACTCATAATGAATTGTTGCTTATTTCTTTTATATGATTTTCCTATGATTCTGTAAAGGATGTGATTACAGCCTAATCATTACATATCGGGGCCTGTAGGAATTCATTTCGTAAAAAAGTTATCGGTAAAACAATATGCGATTATGTATTATGTATTGTATATACATATATTCTCTAGTGTATTAAGCAACAGCAACAGTTTTACTTTGCCTATGACTAAACAGAGATACTGTACATAATTATGTAAATGAACCATTGAAAAACCGAGGTTTATTGAACCCATTTGCACAGAACGTCAAAACGTTATCGAACAATTTTTCTTCTGGGCTTTAATACACTGCACGATGCTTTCTTTGTGCAAATAGGGTCACACTTTTCTCTTTAACACTGAACATACCGACTAAAGCACTGTCACAGTTCACAGTTCACTATAGGAAATGTTCTCTCACCACTGGAGCGTGTCCATGTTTCACGCGTCCTCACGGTACAGATGTTTTTGCTCTGTAACAAATATACCAATCACATTAAAAACTAAATAAAGGAAATCTATGGACGCCCTCTGTCCCTCTGTCCTATCTAGGAGAAACATGTCTTTAAGGGCTGATTTTACAATGGATAAAAGTTACCTGGGGAATAATTATGATGCTGTCGCGTCAGAATGTTTGTATAAGACGGTGACAGCAACAACTTTATTCTTTGGATAACATTTATCTGACTATTGACAAAATAACCCTTAGCCTATTAAAAATATTTTCATAAAAGGAACATGCTTATTGTAAAATAGTAAAACGTATTTTGTTGCATTTTACGTGATCTTTGCTTTAATAATTTTGATGGATGTGGTTTTTAGTCAGCACTGTTTGCAACATAATATGTGATATATATTATTAATTACCTATCATAATGTCAACTAAATTAATTCAAAACGTTCTGTATCATGATTATTTTTCGTCGCACTTGTAAAACCAATCAATACGCAGAATTGGGTAAACGGATAGCCATTCAACGTTCAAAAAAGCGATGAACCTATGAAAATGAACAGAGCCGCAATGCAAATTCTGGCGAGCTATGTAAATATCAATCGAACGCCCGCTGCTATCGAAAATTGGGATTTAGATTCACTTGTTTTATCAAAGTCTATTTTTCAATAAAACTCTAATTTTGTAATACTAAACTTTAAACTAAATGGTTTTTAGTTCAATTTTATATAAACGTTTACCATCTTTATTATAAATGTAACATTATGCCGTTCCTTATTATAACCTCCAAATTTAAACCTCCAAATCTACTAAACTAAAGATATTTTCATACCTATCATCTTCAAAATTTCCCTCGTTTGCACGTAGTCTTCATTTGCCGAATAGAATAGATTTTACAAAAAGATTTTCTTGTTAGACGTATCTGACAAAGGGAACCTGGTTTGAATTTAACACTGTGCTAATTTGGGGACTTCAAAGTTTCCTCAATTTTAGCTACAAGTTTCCAAACGTTTTACAGCCTAAAAACTTCTAAAATTAGAGTAAGATTTCTCTATTCATTCAAATTGAAAACTTTTTCCGGAGCAAATTGCTGGCCGTTTCGAGTTGAAAACAATCGTCAATTTTTTTCACTCAAAGCTAAAATCCAATCACCGAATTGCATTCACTAACATCAATAAGATCTCTTTAGTACGACCATGGGTGCACAAAGCATAAATAAAAAAGGAATTAAGATTTCTAACTGTCCGAACAATAAAATACATAGAGGCTGCTGACCTAATTACAGATTTACAGCAAATAATTAATGAATTATGATAAATAATTTAGTAACCATCTTTATTGGAATCTTCTACTTTAAGAACTTGACATTTGAGTCCTTTCCCTCATTTCCTTTTAAGTATAGCTAGTCGTAACTTTATTATTGACCCACTAAAACATTTTAAAGTTAATAAAAACACGCTCCACTTTATCTAAAGTCATAATTTTATGTTAATCGTAACCTACTATTTATTTGAATTGCCCGAAACCAAATAAAGACGAAAAGAGGCACATGTGAATGAAATGGGCTGTGAGAACAATTGTCGAGAATTGCGCGTCAAGCGAATACTTTTTACAGTTCTGGTGCGTGCGACCTCTTTTATATTTTTGTTTTTTTTTTGTAAAACTGGCTGCGAATATTTTTTTTTAATAAATAAGGGTAGTGCTGGCATTTCGAATTCTCAACGTTTAAATGTACAAATGGAATAGTTGAGTGAAACATTAGAAAATAATATTTGCTATTTATCTTGGGATGCTTATAAAGATGTCCGTCCTTGTAATAAAATAGAAATGTAAGCAGTATATAAGTAGAGGAAGTTAGTATATCATACATCATGCAAACTGAGAGTCAAATGTATACATGCATGTTCCTTAGAGGTAAACAATGTTCGCTGCAGTTTCGAGGAACACGTCTTAAATGCAAATTCTGTTATAAATGCAAAGGCAGTCGTTACTCACATATCCATATTTATATTGAAGCTCGGCTGTAGTTACCTTTTTATCTTTTCTGTGCACCTGCAGGGAGGAAACAATTTCATGACTCATGAACATAGTTTTTAAATTGTTTCACATAACATGCAGTTAGCGAGAAATGCAATTAGTAGACAGATAAACGAAAACGATAAAATGCATGAATAAAAATCATTTTCACTTACGTATTCTGGTTGTGAGAGTCGGAATGCGAAGCTGTTGGTGGCAAGAACCTTGCAAGGTGGGGCTGCAACAGTAACTGCCTGAACGTCTGCCGAAACTGCCTGGACATGGAGCAGTATAGCACGAAGTTTATAGCTCCATTCAGCAGCGCCAAGAAGTCCATCAGCTCTCCAAACAGATCATAGCAACGTTTGAAAAAGCACCATCCAAGGAGACCACTCATCAGCCCCATAATTCCTTGAGGCAGTTCCGTCACGAGGAACAGCAGCAACACGGCTAATAACATCTTCGTAGTTCTATCAGTCCTTTTATCTGCTTTGTTCTGCCTCTTCACCATTTTCTCAGCAGCTGGACAGGCATTGTAGTTTCTCAGTTTCTTCTGGTGTTGGTTTGCATTGTAAAGCGCTCTTATAAGCCAAACGCTGATCACTGTGAGGATGGAGCAGGGCAGCAATTTGATGACGACGCCGTGTACCCAGAAGTTGGCTTGATACAATGTCCCTTGGTAATCTGAGTCCACATGGTACGCGATGTCTGGGTTACCAAATTTGTCTGTCACGTTTTTCGTGTGTATGTCGAAAACCTGTTAAAAAAAAATATTTTGTCATTATATTCTGAACGATATTAGTCGTATGTTTTTATCTTATTTAGGCTAATACAAATCCATTAGTGTTATTATAATGACGATTCTATTTTCAAAAAGTCTCTTGTACAAAATTAGCAATGTTATAATGTGATTATTATAAAGCTTATAAATGTTGTCTCATGTAAAATAATTGATATGAGGTTTTATAAATAAATTATGTAAACAAAGCATCCGAATATTGTTCATAGGAACGTGACCATTTGATTGACAACAGTGCCACGTCGGATCGCATGCTAATACATCGAACAATGAACGTCCAGTAATAATGGATATTGTATGGAAAATAGTGAATGTTTGCAAAGGATTTTATATTGCTTTCAATTCGATATTGCTTGCAAAGTACAATAAATAATACGCTGACATATTTGTATATCTGATATAGAACATTTTTTATGTTTTTTCCATGGATAAATGAAGTTGTCTCTGAAGTTGCAGGATGGCATTTTGGATAATATCATTCGGGATCCTGACTGATTCAATGTCATTCACGTTCATTTCGTGTCTGTTTAAAATTTGGGAATCTATATTTGATATTGTCCATAACATTTCCACATTTATTAAAAGATATTTAATTAAATTTGATAAGTATGAAAGTACATACTGTAATGTGGTGTAAATGGAAAAGAAGTGGCGTTGTGTTTCGCCATGAGAGTGAGGTTACCGGAGGCCCAATCCTTACTCTCACCTAATCCCTCCCCGTTCCCTAAATCTCCAAATCCCTAATCCCCTAAAGTTCGACAACGCACTCTTAACTCCTATGTTGTTTCGAGTGTCTTGCTTACCATCAGGTAATCCACCTGATCATTTATAGTCCTTTTATATAAAAAAAGAAAAAAGCAAATTGTCTTGTTGGATCAACGCGGCGTGCGGTGTATGTAGGTTTTATTCTAGTATAAACTTACCATGAAAGTAGGTGCGCATAGTATAGGAGGTAATATAAAACTCGTTAGGATTGCAATGCTACACCTCCTCTCCGTACACAGTATGTGACTTTTGTCTGAATACCTGCAACAGAGAGCAATTAAATGATTACTTGGAGTATACTTAACGCGCATGAACATGGAATCGAAACTAATTATAAAATGTTTGTTACGCACAAAGAGAAATATCGTCATTGGTTATCGTCAATGGCAATAAAATTTGATAACTTTTAAGATTTAGCTAGATAATATTATTTTAGCTTCGGTAAAATAAGGTTATCCAGAAAGAAATAAAATTAAGATAATTTTCGTGTAAGTATGGTGATGAAGTTCGAATGTTGATTTTAAACCATTTTTTGTAATTCATCCATAATAATATAGGTGAGGGTGAGGGTTCGAAACCTGGCAAGTACCAATGTGACTTTTTCGGTATTATAATGTACTTTCTATGATTATTTAGACATACAGTCAAAAAAAATATCGTGAGGAAACCTAGACATATAAATTCTAAGTTTGAAATCATCAATCCTTCCTTCCTCCATCCTTCTTGAGTAAGCGTAGTGACTAAAGCACAAACCTTCTCCGTGTGAGAAGAGACCTTTGCCCAGCAGTGAACACTTATAGGGTGACAATGATGATGATTATGATAATATATTAGGAAAAAAAATCCTTATAAAACTAAGTCGTATTGCTAAGCTAGCTGAGCTGTTCATTATAAAGTAATACAAATAATAAAACAAGAACAAATACTATTTATTTACTGTATCAACGAGAATGGTTTTCCCCAAAGACATTAAGACAACATCAACGTTCTGAGAAGTCAACGGGAAAATTAATTGGTTTTAAGAACATACTTAAGGCGAAGTTCTCAAGAAATGAATGTGTGGGGTTAATTAATAAGGTATTTTAGTTCTATTTGTGACTTGAAGTAATTAATCAGGGTGAGTTGGGGGCTAATTAGTTCGATGAAAAAAGAGTTACGCCTCTTCATCTGGGAACACCTTGAGGACAGATTAAAGGTCTATGCTAGGTTTGTGATTGAAGGTGACCTCAGTGATCGGGTCAATAAATGCGATTGCCTAGCAAAAAATCTTTTTTTAATTTTACTTTCGAAGGAATGCTTCGAGATTTGTACCCTTATTACAAGTAACAACTACACGTAAGTTTGATTGATAAAAAATAGCTTTACCCGTGACTTCGCTCCCGTCATTTGACTACCTACTCTACTCTACCCCTAGTACCAGTTCTTAACTATATTCCTACAAAATCGGGTCAGCCGTTCTTGAGTTATACATAAAATTAAATACAATAAACAACACAACATTATTTATAAACATATACAGACAGATACAAACACGTTTGTTAACACAATATAAATAGGTATGTCAATTAAAATGGGATCAGTGTTCCAAGTGGTTAGTAACCATGGAAACCATAAAACCTTTGTTATTCACCTCTGTTTGCTTAAGTTAATTTCCATAAAATCTCGTAAAAGGTTACATACCAAAAAGATTACGGTTCCCCTGAACCAATAGCTATTTTGCGGTACTTGTTTATAAGCACCTACTTGTTTATAAGTAGGAACACGTGTCTGACAAATCAATAAACGTATCACGAATTGTTTTTGTTTTCTTTTATAAATAAACAACATTTTTTGGAATATTATATTCGCTTTTATTAAGCTTTTTTTCATTTATTTGGCTGTAGACATAAATAACTATTAAATTAGTTAAAAGCTTAAAAAACATTAGTAAGACAGTATTTGCGGGCCTGTCAGGGTTCAGATCAAGCGGAATAATAGGCGCGGCCTCCGCCTGAACCAGGAAAAGAAACGGCATGGTTTTTTGGTTGTTGGAGCCTGATACACGTTCTCACGCTTCTCAGAGAGTAGTAGTATCTCCTTTGGTATTGCGAGTGTCCGTCAGGTCCTTTGACTTAAAAAAAAACACCAGTTGCATAATGAATTAGTTTGATAAATTTCATCATCATCATCATACCAGTCGCAAGACGTCCACTACTGGACATAGGCCTCCCTCAGAGACTCCCAATGATCGATAAACTTAATCAAACTTTACTCGACCCGGGAATTAAAGACGCGTGGCGGTCGCTGAAGCCCTCACCTATCCTCACACTATAGGCAAAGAGAGTTTATCTCAAACGGATTAATAATATCCTTTGTGGGTAATGAAGCGGGTATTATGTTTGAACCAATGGTCCATTGGGCTGTTAGTCCGACATTCTAGTTCGTTCGACTGTATCAAAGTGTCATTCGACTTGTGAACTTTTGACTTCTGTAAGGGCAGGGCAATCTCTTCTATCTATTCTGATGGAATGGATTACCTTGCATTATGTATACCGGTGGTTACGTATGGCTAAGATTTATGGTTTACAACTACACCAGCTTCGCACGTATACAATGCTAGTACAAAAAATTCTTAACTATTTAATGGGTGTTTGTTTATACATAATAAACCTTCTTCTTCAATTAATCTATCCACTAAAAATAAACGCATCAAATCCGTTGCGTAATTTTAAAGATTTAAGCATACATGGGGACAGAGAAAACGATTTTGTACTATAATACATATGTAGAGATTCAAGAATGTTTCAGTCAGGTTCATTAATCGCGGGAGCCTATAGCAACCCATAAGCCACCAGCTTCTTTTGCATAAGGATGAAGATTTAAAAGTTGGGTAGTACTTAAGTAATGAGTCATTTTCCGAGTTAAGAACATTTATTTTTTTAGTTTATTGAGACCTGGACTAATAATTTTAAAGTATAATTTTCAAATCGTCAATCTAATCAATGCCCAAAACTAAGCCTGCAGTATGATTCTGTAAGACTTCATTCTAAACTTGGAATCTGAATCCGCTGTAAGCAGTAGTACACTAGCGCTACACTTGCGAGCTGAACTAAATTGACCGCAACATTTTGATAGATAAAGTATGAGATGACGTTAAAAGAGGCATTCTAGTAATTTCCCCGTCACTTCGACGCTCACTTCACACTCGAACAAGATGCAAAATCAAACAAATTTTATAGAATCAACGTGCAGATCAACGTTTGAAAATTGTCTCCGTGTGAAAAGAGGACTTTGTTCAGCTGTCGGCACTTAGAAATAGGCTCTATGATATTGAAGATACCGATATGACAATAACCAAATATTTGGCTATCGTATATACATATGTATGAATTTGAGTGCATATTATTAAATATTAAAAAAAGGTTTGCAATTGTGTTTAGTTCAAGAGAGAACAGTTTACATAATGACTATTCATGAATAATACTCATGAACTTCAACGCTCTGATTTGTGCTAAATGTCCCTGATGTCAATTGAACAAATGGCAGAGTTGCTAAAATGTCCTACGATGCGGCACGATATAATGAGCTCCACATTTAGTGCACTAGCTAGAGAATGGCCCTCCTCCCTCACACCCACAATAAAACATCCCCCCTTCAAACCCTCAACAGCTCTTGTCGTTAAAATAAAACGTATGCACTCTATGACCTTGAAGATTTTTCAAGAATCCTGATAGAAGTTATAGCTAACAAGTTTTTCATGTTAAATGAAATCTTGTAAACCTAGTTGCTTCGTTAATCTCCGCAGTTGTAGGCGTATGGTTCATTAACTTTTTACTTATATTATTATATAGACACATATTGATATTGTCGTGTTTAAAATATATAAAGTTATTCACATAATTAAAACTAAAATTACATCTGAATATTCGGTATTACGGTTAACGCAATGGACTTATAATGGCTAGACAAGCATAACTTACAAAATACGGGTATTGAAGGGGCTCCTTTTGCAAAATATAATACGTGATAATGATACAGTTATAATTGTCGTGTATGTACCGCAATCCCAGCCTGGAGCAGGATAAAGAATGAGGTAGTGTTTAGTAGGTAAAAGGGAGGCATTGCCTTTTGTAGCGGAAAAACTTATTTTTAGATTTTCCGCTCACACTTCAAGCAATGGAAAATCTTTTAATTACTTTATTCATATATTGACATCCAATGCTAATTGCATGGTTAGCATTGTTAAATTTCATTTTACTTCAAAAATAATTCTTTAAATATGCTCTGCTGCGTTTAAGTTTTCATCTAACAATAACCACAACAAAAACAGAATTGGCATTATTGGTCAGTCGGTGTTAATTAACCCCTCACAACAAATATTACGAATTATTTCAAACTAGCTTTAGCCCGCGACTTTGTTCGCGTGGAATAGTGACTTTCTGCAGATTTTTGATTAGTTAACTATCCTATTTCCTTTCTCGAGTTCCAAACTATGTCTGTACCAAATTTCACACAAATAGGTTCAGTAGTTTTGGCGTGAAGAAAAGACAGTCAGACAGAGTTCCTTTCGCATTATTTTATAAAATTAGTTTGGATATTTATCTATATTGATGGATTTTTTATTGGCTATTGTGATCAGATGCAATGTATCTAATACTTTTATTACAAAACCAAGCTTGAATTGTTTTTTATTGTCTTATAATATATATTTGTACTTGTACTTTATAAACAGGGTGTCCGGTAAAGAATGGATAACCTGGCAATACCTTTAAGTATATCTTATGGCCATTCAAAAAATATAGGTACAAAAAAAAACGAAAAAAATATTTTCTAAAAAACTTGCAAATTAATTTATTATAGACAAATCGTGCAAAATTAATTTTTAAAGCAATGTTTAATCATCGTGGTTATGCAGTAATGTAATGAACGTAAATGTTAAAGGATCATTTTGTATTACCTCTAGCCCGAGTTCTTTTACTTCAAGACATAATAATTTAGGTACTATCTATGATACTTTCCTTTTCGTTGTTTTTTCTGAATGGCCAAAGGATATACTAAAAGGCATTTCAAGGTTATCCATTCTTTACCGAACACCCTGTATATATTTACATATAAATATAAAGTATTGAATTCGAAATATACTTACTTTATAGCCAAATATCTCCAAATAGCCAGTGACAGGGTGAGGCATATAGACGCGGTGTGAAGTATCTGAGCGAAGTGCATATGAAACAGCAGGTACATTGCCCATGAGTACGGAAAATCCAATTTTTCTGGGAGGACCTGAAAACAAAATTTTTTTATAGTCATTCAACCACTTGTGTAGTCTCGTACGTATATATAAAGAGCTTTAGGTTTTCGTTTAAATTGAAGTTATATTGATTAATGACTTTTTAAGTGCTGTGTTGTTTATTTTTGTATAGCATATATATATTTGTGATAACACTACGAACGGTAGACGACGTCGACCGGTCCAGTTTGGAAACGCGTGATGGTTATTTTGATAGATAGTCTGCTATGTATCCCAAAATGGCTTGGTTAATTAAACTATTAGGTGTGAGAGGCATTTTGGCACGAACGGGTCAACCAGCATGGAACAGCGTTTGCCTTAGCTGTGTCAGAGAGGCCAAAAGCCAAATACCAGAGGTCCAATCTCCCAATCCGTAAACTACAAAAGGTCTGCAATGTACTTGTAGGTCCTCGATGTTACGGGCGTCACCAATTGCTTACAGACTTAACCCATAAAAAACATAATTATACCTTTGAATAGCCTTGATCAAAATCAAACCAATATCAAGAAACATGACCAAGTACTAAACGCATCCTTAATCAACAGCCTAAAACCTAAACTACTTACTAAGACAGCTACTTTTGAAAGTCTTAGCACGTCAGTCACTTTGTGGAAGAACTGTGCAAGTTTATAGCAGTTTTAAAATTAAATTTTTGTCAGACCCAAAGTGGAAGGATGACTCTTTACGAATACTAACCTATTAAGAACTTTAACAGAAAAACAAATTGAAGATAATAAATATATTTATGAAAAATTGTTGACTTGATTTCTTTACCACGTTGCCTTTAATAAACTATGTAGATTCTCATATCGAAATAATATTTATCAGACTAAGCCTGATCAGTATTTTTAAAAAATAATAATTTAATACTGATCTTATCATATATAATACCAATCTATATCCACCTACACCCATGACCATATATTTATATACTATATTGCATAATAGTACTGCCTCGTCTGTAAATTGTCCTTGGTGCACTTTCATAGTGCATAAATGGATAATTTCCGGCTGATGTCCCATTTCACAAATATTAAAGTTGTTCAAAGGGCCTTTGCCAGTTGGCTTCGGCAGCTCGTACGTCCAAAGATCCGAGACCATGTGATCCCGTCAACGGAATAGAACAAAAAACAAAATAATAGCATAGTGTTGTTAAAATGTCTATTTTTGAAATATTATTTGTTCTTATCTTACATTTATATGCATACACTTCGATTTATAATGTGACAGTTAATAAAATAATTCTGTACTTAACACATCTTTCTAAAATATAATTATTGTGTTAAGAAAGTGACAAATTGGAACGTTTAGTCCCCATTTACGTCCCTACTTTGACCAGTTTATTTGGGTTGAAACGAGGATAAAATGAGGGAAATCCGTTGACCTATTTATTTTTCAATAAAACTGACAAAAGTGGTTTCCGACTATGAAGCACAACCATTATGTAGCCGTCACTGAAAGATATTGACGAAGGCGGCAATTGATGTCTTCGGTCCAACAAATTTGACACGGAAGGACGTTGTTTTTTGTTTTTTTATTTTATCTTTAACAACGTTGTTGGATACTTTTTAAAAGTGGAACGTTTTCTCGTATTTTTAAAATTAGAACAAAAATCATTAACTGTCTCTATAATCGAAACATAAAATAAGTAATATTTGAATGTTTTTTTGTTTGCGTATGATTAAAGTATTTTATATAAGTATATTATTTTTTAATCATCAATCGATAAAATTCTGCTAAATGGCTCACAGACAAAGTCAGCTTGACCTCATTTAAAAACCGACGAGAAACATCTCTTGCGTTGTATTTCATCGCAAGACGTTACCAGAGGCCCAATTATTTTCCACTTCTATCCCCAATCCTCAATCCTCAAATCCCCTAAACCAAAGATATCTTTGCCAATTGCTTTTCAATTAGGTTATTCTGTCTGCTCGTTTGACGCCCTACGGCATATAAAAGGCCGCGGGTGAAAAGCCAGTTATCATTAATATACCAATACCGGGTTCCTACAATTCTCGCAGCTAGAGGCTATAGAACTACGTGGTACTCCTAAACAAAGGTATATAATGGTAGGATTGCTGCATTCATAGGACGAGTATTACACAACCGAACGCTTCTCAAGAAACGGCTGACCTGTGATTGTTTTCACAAGAATTCTCTCTTTAAATCGAATCGCTCTTATTGGTTTTCCGTTCTGTTCTCATTTTAAAATTAAACTTTTATTAAAGTCAGCTTAATTCTTTGGATTTTTAGACGTTGGCGTAATTGCAAAAGAAAAACTATTAATTTATTAGTAGATTAACTAGCTTAGGTTATTCGTTTCGCAAATAGTACATACAACGTGTTGGTCTCGGTATTTTAATAAAATAGATTACATAGATAAAGAAAACACGTGTTCAACAAAACATAACATAAATTATTTATATCATAGTAATTGTTTATCTATGCCCCGTTATCTAGTCTATTCATAATAAACTACTTCCTGTAAATCAATAATTTTCTGATAACTTTTATCTATGGTTAACGGCTGCAACTAGTTATTTCAGTGTTCATTATATATACATAGCTGAACATTCCAAACAATGTCAATTTATTTAAGTATTATATTTAAAAAACAAACAACAGAAAACTTGATGTACTGGTTTTCTGTGTAATGATAACAACAGTAATAATTGGGTAGTTTCCTAAGTGAAAAAATTAATTAATTCAACGTTTTAATACAATTAAATATTGAAAAATAAGTATACTTTTATTCATCAATGTGTCGATACACTAAATTTTTGATATTTATTTTACTTCTTCTTCTTTCCTTTCACGGGACCACAGGGTCTCGGACCTTTGGAAGGCGTACGAGGAGCCGAAGCCAACTCGCAGAGGCCCGTTGAACAGTTTTAATCTAAATGTGATGGGACACCAGCCGGCAATTATCCCTGTATGCACTATAAAAGTGCATCCAAGGACAATCCCCGGTTGATGCAGGACTATTGTGAAATGTGGTAAATTATTTTACTTATTTTTAAGAAATTAGTAAGCTATTTGACGCTAAACTACTATGACGGTATAATTAAGTGTCATACAAATTTCATAGAAAAGTATCGTCTTTGAATTTTATTCTTATTCATTTGGATAAAAGTATTGATTTTGACTAGTTGGAAACCACCATACTGTACTAGACTAGCAATTTGACCCGGCTTTGCCTGGGTTCAAAGCTAATACAAAATTTCTACACTATTTAATGGATGTTTTTAAATATATAATAGTTTTTGTTTACTCACTCTATCCATTAAAAAATTCCGCGTCAAAATCTGGTGCGTAATTTTAAAGATTTAAGCATACGTAGGGACGGACAGGGAAAGCGACTTTATACTATGTACTACATACAAACATAGGCCAACATAGGGTTCAGTTTTATGTATTAGATTTTACTCCTATAATGATGTGGAAGAGTCCAAAACATTGCATCTCCAAATTAAGTAACTTTTGAACTAAGTGTGGGAGAGCCATGCTTCGGCACGAATGGATCGGCTCGACCGGAGTGATACCACGACCTCACCGTCCGTCCGTTTGCTCGTTTGCCAACCTATCACATTCAAATAAAAATTTAAGTCGCATAATTAGGTGAATTTACCCAGACGAAACAAATAGACACAGCTGAAATGCACGATGTTTCAACAATTTCACAGTTGCTTTCCTTCACTTGAATATGAATGGACAACAACTGAAGCCACGATGGCCACTGATTTCAATCGATATATCCCACATATGTATGTAGGTTATGTCCAATGATAGGTGAACTGTCCGTAGATGCTGCACATATGAATATGAGATGATAAATAATATTCCAAATACATAAACTTACCGTGTTGTGTCATTTCGTGAAGAGGCAACCAGAAAGACGCATTTAGTCTTTACATTCATTTAAAAATTTTGTCTGTCTGTCTCTATGTTTCTTATAGAAACAAAATCTAGTCGACAGATTTTAACGAAACTTGGTACAGTTATTCTTTATGTTCCCGGACAGGTTATAGTATACTATTCATCACGCTACAATTATTAGGAGACCTAGTAGTAAAGGAAAATGTTGGGAAAATTGGAGAAGTTACTCCAATAGCAAATAGTTTAACTAGAGGACAGACGGACAGACTGACACGCTTAAAGTTAAAGCTCTTGAAATACATTTTCGTCCTTTTAGGGATTAGGGATTTGGAGATTTAGGGATTTAGGAGGGATTGGGGGAGGAGCAGGATTGTGCCTCCGGTAACCTCACTCACACGGCGAAACACAACGCTGTGGTTATTTCACGCCGGTTTTCTGTGAGGCCGTGGTATCACTCCGGTCGAGCCGACCCATTCGTGCCGAAGCATGGCTCTCCCACACCTAAATCCTATCCGATCCGATCCTATTATCGTTTAATTGTTATTGTTTTGAACCCATCCATATTTACATAAATGATATTGTATTTGGCTAGCGGTCATCCCTATTATGCTCTCTTATACCTATATATCTTAAATTCATAAATTTTTGTTAGCAAGAAATTACAAATGGACGATAGATAAAGCTCATACACTTTTTTGACATCCTTTATTAGACACGAAACTCTTTGATTGTGGTCTTTTTCAACGTATTGGTTTAACATTATTTGTATTTTTCACAGAAAGTACGAACTTAGGGCCTGAACAATTCCAATATTTTCTAAATAAAACAAAGCCCGTAGCCAAACCTCTCAAATGATTAATAATAAATGTATTCAAAGGGACTAAATCTTAGAATACAATCCGTTCACAGTAAGACCAATGATTTCAGAGAATGGATGTATTATTTTCGTGAAATTAATAATACTGAGACCTGTCACCAACGAAGATTCTTCAATCTTTAATCTTTCTTAGTATTAAGGGCGTGTAGACCAAGCGATAAGTAATAGGTATTTAACGCTACCAAGAGTTGCCCGAGCCGAGCCGCCGCCACCAGTTTTAAATCTTATTAACTATATTAGTAATTAAAAAAAACATTTTATCAATTCTCATCCTACGAATTTGTCTGTAACTAATTAGTTTCTTTATTATAGAATAAAAAAATAAATGAAAAGAAAACAGTAATACAAGTCAACATATTGAAAAAAAAAACGTTTTAAAAAGGGGTAACTTTGCGATCTTTTCTATTGAGTGAAGTGCATCGAGTCTTTCAACTGTATGCAAATTTGACTAGATAAGATCCTCAACTGAAACATATTATATATTTTTTTTATTTAAAGTACTGTAGTTTTTGTCTCATATTGTTTTAAAAAAACCAACTAAAACATATATATTTTTTTAAATTTAGAAAACTGTAATTTTTGTCTCAGATTGTTTTAAAAAATGTTAATTTGCGCCCACCTAGCCTTTATATATTTTTGGTACATGGTCATCGAATTTTAAATTTGAAATTAGCATAAATCCGCAAAACCATTGTAAGGAGTTCTGCAGTCTTGGTACTCTTACCTTCAAAATCCCTAAATAAGGAGTTAGGCAAACAATTTACAACTTAAAACAAGCTAAAAATTAAATTATTAATATTATATACTTACCAAATGTCTATATATAACGAAGGGTACATATTCAATCATAACAAAGACGTCAGCAACAGCCAGCCATTTGAGGAGACGGTTTATAGGAGCGGCGGCCATGTCTCTTCTAGTCAGGACGGCGATGTTCATTGTGTTGGCCAAAACTCCTATAGTACAAACCTGGAACAACAATATCGAGATTTATTGTATGTAGATTCGAAGATTTGTGTTTTTAATATATTCAGACAATTTGGCATTAACTACTAAGTAAACGTCTTCCTTCACGATTAAGTCAGAGTCTCGAAATATGCCAAGCGGCTTAAGAATAACAGATATGTCTTCTAAAGTTTAAAGGACATTCATTTATTTTCAGACGATAAACTCATTATTCAATTTCAAGAAAAAAACAAAGGCAATCTACTCTTTCTTAAAACCTTGGTATTTTACCATCAGGTGATATGTAACAGACCATAGATTAATAATATACTATTTATTAGTAACAGGCGTAGCAAATTCTGTCGTGACATATATTTAAATTAAATTCAATTCATTTCTTTATTGCGTTATTAAAAGTATATTAAAATTGTTTGAGTTGAATTGTTTTAAAATAATAAATGAAATGGAATACACAATTTTAAGATTTTTTTATTGCCACCATAGAATAAAAATGTTCTTCGTATATATGCAAAATAAACTACCTTTATTGTTATACAAGTACCTATATAACTACTTGAGGAATAAGTACACAAAACCGCATTTGGCCACACAACCATGACTTCATGATAAAATACTACCTCATAAATATAAAATGTATATTTATCCCTCGTGGTCTTGCAATTAAGATGGAATAAAACGTTCGTTCTAATACCCATTGCATCATTAATACAATATATCTATGCATCACGAAATCGTTTGTAAAATAACATAACATTATATAGATTTTCTCCACTATTTAATGGATGTTATTATATATATTTTAACAATGCTTACATTGTTTTACAGAATGCTTACATTGTTTTACAGAATGGTCAATGTTACCGGACTCCCGATTAACCCTCCATCACCAATCCCCCAATACCCAATACCCAAAAACCAATACCAATCTCAATCCACAATGAAAAAACTCTAAACCCAATCCACAAATCCTCCAACTAAAAATCACTATTCCTTGAAATCACCACATATATTATGTACTAATACATAACACATCGACTGACTGAGATAGACAAAGTCAATTTCAAAATCAAAATGAAAATTTTACGAAACCACATACATGGAAATTACTGTGACAGAGGAAATTATTGTCTATTTGAATAAATCTGTAATTTTTCTTGGAATTAATTGACAATATTAAAATATATGCAAAACCTCTCGGTAATCTGAACACGTCATTCGACAGCCACTTCATTATCCCAATGCCGGGATAACGCCAGAAAATAATTAATTACGTTTCGAACAACTTTTTTAACGGTAATGTTATGATAATCTCATTACCTACCACCATTGTTAATTTAAATTATAACTTGTATAAGTCAATGATAATCAAATTGAGATCGAATAAAAATTCTTTCATAGTTTGCTATTTCTACAAAGAATAATATGCTTGACAGAATACGAAAATTAAAAAGGTACTTTAGTCTCTCACTTAGAATGTTTTTTTTTTTTTTAGTCGGGCGGGGGGAGTGTCAGGCTCTTACTGACTAAATATACCCCGTTCCTTCTCCTGCTCTAATTTCCTTGTTTGCTAAAAATGTACTAAAAGAACATGGTCTTTATTTTATTCTGTCGTAAAGAGTACAGCATATAAACTAAGAATATGTCACTTAAAATGAAATTAAAATTAGAGGTGTTTTGTAAGAAAATCGTAAAGTGACTTCTTCCGCCCAGGGTCGGGAGGAGGGAGTGTCAAATTCTTGCTGACTAAAAACACCCCCGTTCGGTTTCATTGTTTGGTAAAAATATACGAAATGGCCACGTCACACGATATTTCAAATCAACATGTGATATTCCTAAAGGTGCTCCCACACAGCAGTTATATAACGTTATACAACATTATGCCATTTATAACAGCGTGTAACAATACTCTACAACATGTTAAGAAATGTTATATGTTATAAACAAATTAGTTGAACTCGTTGTATAACAACGTATACATTATGTTCAATCAGTTTGGGTTTGTCTTTCGAGGAAGGTGTGGTAGTGAACCAATAATGGAGTAAGTGCTGATAGGTTTGGTTCTAATCAGTTGTAAAACATTTTGTTAAATGAAGTTGTATAACATCAATAACAATTTATTATAATTTGTAACAATTTATAACTTTTGTTTTAATTTGTTTAAAAAAGTCAGTCTCTGACGTTATATAACTGCTGTGTGGGAGCACCTTAATGTTTTTTAATAGTCTGATTGAAGATGGACATTAGCATAATATTATCATCCCTGTTATGTTATCACTTGTTATTTTTTGTAAATTTTAGAGCACAGATCGACTTACACCAATTTGCCTTTCTTACTTTATAACAATATTAGCAAATTGAAAATATATTACTTGAGCCAATACTTAAGTTACAAACTACAACAACATGAAGGATTGAGATACAATGAATAAAATATCAACGTACTCGAAAAACGTCTTAAAACAATATTCACGTGAAATAATCACAATTGAATATTGAATGATAATACTTATAACATGCCTTTCATTAGTTTCAATAGACTGAACTGAATGAAGATAATACTAGATTTGCCTACGTTAGAAAATGTTTTGTTAATAATGTCATTGTAATTTAAAGTGAAATTATTAATTAGTAAATGCAAGATTGGATTCAGAAATCTTTGGTCGGCAGTTCGTGAACATTTTCTTTTACTTAGCACTTGTGACTGTTTTTGTATTGATGGAGATTTAACAAATGGCTCCTTGTTCTCTAAGAAAGGACCCTTTATGTCGAGGTATTATCTGACTCTTACTGATTAAAATCCACCGCGTTTCATGTCCTTCAAATGTCAGAGACGCGGTAGAGTTAAGAGTGCCCGAGAAAAGCGAAAGACCCAAGCATTTGAAAAGCATTTTTCTGCGTGCAGAGTACGATAACAAGCCTCATCCAATTATATCTTCATCGGAAAACTATAATAAAACATCTAAACGTAACAAATTTATCAATACCTTTATACAAAATTATATCCACATTTAATAAAAAAATGCTTTTGAAATTTTTTCCCCATGAACTACTGATTTTCTCGAACATTGAACAATTATCCTTTGCATTGTTACACATTATTTAACCAATCGAAAACACTTTCTATGTAACATTTTACGGTCTGAGAACATCAATAATAAATATTTACAACAGTAGTACTAACGTCGGAGATATCAAAGTCGATATTTACTTTATGAACTCGATGTTATTAACATTATCTATCAGCATATAACTTTGCAAGTATGAGTCATTAGGTACGTTGTAAAATGACCTATAAATACCTCAGTTTCTGAGAAATGAAGTTACTAGTCTAATATTGTTCAAATTATTGTCGACAGCATTATTGAACATGACTTTGTACCAGATAAGTTTGAATATAGAACGTTACTTGTATTTTTTTTAAGATTATCTGAGAGCCATGCTTCGGCTCGAATGGGTCATCTTGACCTGAGAGATACCACGTCCTCACAGAAAACCAGCGTGAGACTACCACTACTTTGTGTTTCGCCGTATGAGTGAGGTTACCGGAGGCCCGCACTGTATAAACTCTGTATAAAATCTGTCTATAAGTTTTTTGATAAATGTGGTGAAACAGGTCCTTAGACTATCACATGAATTTAGCGACTAATCAAATTAATTTATGCTATTTCAAATCGTCAGGGTTAAAATTCCTTAACTTTCTATAGTACTGTGTTTAAGAAATAATATCATAAACAATATGGCTTAAAAAAATTCTTCCTAAAATATTAATTTATGTATGTTCAATATTAGTTACAAACAAAAGTTCTCTCCAAATTGGCCTAAAGTCGCGGTCTAAAAACAGCTCATTTTGACGGGACCATCAAAGCTAAGCTATTTGAAGTAAAATCTATAAATATATGAAAGCGGTAAATGAGATCGTTCTGGTTTGCCACATAAATAACTTAATACAATTTCTTTTGGCAAGGATACGCCTATTTTCTCTAATTAATGAGAGAAACCGTATAATTATCTTATTTAGGAACAAATTTGTAATTTAAATTAGGGCGCTGGCATCCTCATTTATTTTGCCAAGCGATCCATCCCATCGTGATATTCATAGGACTGCAGGTTGAGGCGCCCGCTTCATATGCGTGACGTATGGGCTCAAAACCTGGCTAGTTGCCATTGCCAGCCATTGAGACCTCGTACGCGTAAAATATATTGTGGAGGTACTAAGGTTACTGAGTATTTAGATACCAGTAACAAACAGTGAAGAAAATATCATGAAGAAACCTTTTTTTCTTAGGGGAAAATTATCAAATGACTTCTCTTTACGAGGATGAGGCGAGACGGAGTGTCAGACTCTTACTGACTAAAAACCCTCGTTCCTTTCCCCTGCTTTAGGCCAAGGTCGTGATACCTTATTGCGCTAGCCCCGCAACCCCGGCTAGTCCAGAAGAAACCTGGACTAACAATTTCTAATTATAAGTCTTTGAAATCACCAATGTGCCAATCAAATTTCTCGTGTGAAAAGAGACCTTTTTTTATGTAATAGGAGCAATCAGCGCCGCCCATGGACACTCGCAACGGAGGAGTTACGAGTGCGTTGCCGACCTCTTAGGGATTAGGGATTTGGAGATTTAGGGATTGAGGAGAGATTGGGGAAGGGGAAGGATTGGGCCTCCGGTAACCTCATCTGTGAGGCCGTGGTATCACTCCGGTCGAGCCGACCCATTCGTGCCGAAGCATGACTCTCCCACACTTAAATTTTAAACCTTTAACAGTTGTTGGCACATAAAGGCCTGTGATATTATTTCATGTGTGATCCAGTTAATCATTTATTCATTAATTGAACTATTTTGGGTATTTATCATTCAATTCTCCGAAGGGCTAAATATAATGTAAATGCTCGTAACAGGGATAGTATCTATTAATGTCGTGGCAAAATCGAGTCTTTTTCAATACCCATGCAACAAAAAGGGAGTCTAGGCCAACAGACCCTCCAAACACTGAATAAAATAACT